ATGCCCTGGGGAGAGGCATGTGTCCTGTGTGGTATTCAGTGTGTGGGCTCAGCTGCTACCACCACCATCACTGTGGATACCATAACCTAACATGGGGGATGGGAACTGATCCATCCCTCCAGGAGCAGTCAGTACTTTTAACTGCTGAACCATCCCTCCAGTTCTATTTCTTCTCCCTGCGTCCTCTTTGAGGCAGAGTCTCATTATGTATCCCTGATTGTCCTGGCACTCGTATGTAGACCAGGCTGGCCTAGAACTCACAGACATCCACCTGCCTCTGCCTCCCAAGTCTTGGGATAAAAGGCATGCACCACAACTCAGTTGCCAGTCCTATTTCTTTGAATGCATTCTTTGGAGTCACTGTGTGGTTTCCTGAGCACTATAATTAGCATCTTAATTTATAGTAAACTAGCTCAGATTAGTATTAATTTAATTACAACAGTGGCCCAAACTTGGCTTTCACATAGCTCTATTCTCTTCCTAGCAGTCTGTTATGGTTATACAAATTACAACTTTGTATACTATGTCTGTCAATGCAAATTTATAATTATTGTTTTGTGTAATTGTCTTTTAAATCATATAGAAGAAAAGAGCTACACACACAAATTGTATTCAAACTGTCTTTTATAGTTTCCCACACAGCTACACTAAACAACTATTCTTTAGTTCTTTTTCCTCCTCCGCCTCCTCCTCCACCACCATTACAGCCCATCCTTGTTTTATCTTCTTCTTTGACTTCTACTCTCTGTGGTCACTTCCCTGGCCATGTCAGCCTGCTTTTCACCACCTGTGACAAAATACCCAAGGAAAATCATTACAAAGAGGAAGGAGTCTTTTAGTTCTTGGTTTCAGAGGGCTCAGTTCATGGTCATTTGGTCTTAGTGCTGTGGGCTGTGGTAAGGAAGGACACCATCATGGCAAGGATAGTGTGTGGGAGCAAAGCCTCCCTCCTCATGGTAGCCAGGAAGGAAGAGAGAGAAAGGAGAGAGAGAGACAGAGAGAGAGACAGAGACAGAGAGACAGAGACAGACAGAGAGAAATTTGATGAATCTATCTACTCAAACCTGGCTCTACCTCCTACATTATACTAATAATACCACCAAAACATGGCCAGTGAGAGTGCTCAGCAGGTAAAGGGGCTTGCAGCCAAGCCTGATGACCTGAATTTGATCCAAGGAACCCACACAGTTAGAAGGAGAGAACCAACTCCCATAAGTTGTCCTCTTATTTTCACATGTATGCTGAGGTACATGCCTACAGTGAGACCTTCCACACAGTGAGAGCTGGTGCTGGGTTCCTGGAATCCAGATGGACAGAAACCTGCCTTCTTATCAGCAGATACCTGGTGCCAGGAATCTCTTTGTTTTAGCTGTGGTTTTATCATTTTCCGATTTATGAATCATTGATCATCTGGCTACAATTTCCATGGTGATCCTTAATGAACAAGACACTTCAAGAGCTGTCCTGCTCCTACCCCAAGTTCACTGTGAGTGTGTGCTTTAGCCTCAAGCAGGTAAGTATTTTGAGTTGGGAAGCTGTGTCCATGGGTCTTTCTTCAGATGGGAAAGCTCAAGACACGAGGAACTCGGTAGAGTCTATAGCTGATTGTGTGTGTTTGTGAGTGTCAAACTGTGTGTGTTGGTTCAGAGTTCAACTTTGGGTACTATTTCTCAAGAGCCGTCTACTTTTATTTTTAATAGAATGTTTTTATTTCTTCTTTCACATCATACATATAAACAATGTACCTTGATTATATTCACTCCCAATCCCTCCCCCAGCCCCACTAATTACCCTTAACAGATTCGTGTCCTCCCTAGATCCAGGTACTGTTGCCTGTGTTGATTTATCTACTTGGGTAGAGCCTGTCAAAGTCTAGGGAGGTAACTGTGGAGGTTTGAATGAGAATGGGCCCCAGAAGCTCATGTTTGAATGCTTGATCCCCAGATGGTGGACTATATAGAAAGGATTAGAATGTGTGTCACTGGGTGTGGGCTTTGAGGTTTCAAAAGCCTACACCAGGCTCAGTCTGACCCTCAGTCTGAGGGTCAGATGTAAACTCTCAGTTACTGTTCTAACACCATGCTTTCCTGCTATGATGATCAGGGACTAAACCTCTGACATTGTAAGCAAACCCACAATTAAATGCTTTGTTTTTATAGTTGCCCTGGCCATGGTATGGCCTCACAGCCATACCCTAAGACTACAGTGAGTTCACCATAGCCGTAACCTGGCATGTCCTGAATAAAGCGTTTCACATCACTTTCTTCATCCTCTGGCCCTGAAATTCCTTCCTCCTCTTCTTCTGCAAGGTTCCTGGAGCCTTAACACCCATCTTCTGTTTTGAAACAAAGGGTACACACTGGATTGGAACTCTCTTAAGCTAAACTGGTGGCAGGTAGCTGAGATTACAAGTGTGTCCCTTCATGATTTTTTATTTGTTCTGAGACAGCATCCCAGTGTATAGCCTGACTGGCTCTGCCTCCCAAATACTAGGATAGGCGGCATGTGCCACCATGATTGGTCCCATGTCCAGCTTTTAAAATGTGGGTTCTGAGACTTGCACTTAGAACTCCTTGTGCTCAGCTTTTTTCAAAACAAGGGTGTTAGGGATCTGCTAGACACTTGTTTGGGCATCACTTCACCGACTGAGCAACCTCCCCAACCCCACTAGGTACCTTTCCATGGAGAGCTGCCTGGCTGTAGTTGCACCATGAAAGGGATTAAAAATAAACTGCTCTCAACCAGCTTCATCATGTAGAACTCCAAAGGCCCCCAAGCAGGGCATCTGGCCTAATTTCATGTTCTAAGCAACACTAATGATGTTCAGTCTGCCAAGTAATAATTCACATTGAAAATAGACTCTGGGGACCTCTGTGACCCCTCCAGTCTTTGTTTTGGAGGCTGAGTCCCACTGAGTTTCAGTATTAAGTATATCTGGCATATGGTGTCAGGTGGCCCCACAGTTAGATGTCACTTTCCATATAATTGAAAACATTGCTCTGCAGCTGCTAAGAGCATAGACTAGGAATGGAAAGTGGTAGCAGTAAAGAGACAGTCACCATGCCAGCCAGAGCCAGGTGGGCACACAGAGAGGGCTTTGGGAGGATGCAGTGGCATCTGGCCCTGCAGAACCAAAGACCAGAAGGCAGAGGTGAACAGGAACAAGAAGGGGGAGATATAAACCTCCAGGTCCAAAGTCTGGCTGTGACCCTGGCTGCCTTTCACCGGCTATAGAAGCCCAAAACCTAGGCTGAAGAGCACTAGCTTGATAGCACAAGGACCTCAGTTTGATTCCCAGTGCTGAGGAGAGAGGCAGCCTAGCTTACTTTGGGAGTTCTGGGTCAGTGAGAGATTGTCTTGACATTCAAAGGGAGAGGGAGGCTGGAGAGATAGCCCAGTAGGTAAAGTCTGAGGGCCAGAGTACACAGTAGTGTATCTGTAACCCCAGCTTCCTAGGATGAGATAAGGGTCTATAAGAAACTCCCCAGAAGATAGCCTGGTAAACACAGGGGCAGACAAAAGATCCTGTTTCAAGAGGAAGGAGAAACAGGTTTCCCATTGATCTCCACCCATAAACACAATGGTATGCACACATGCACACACTCATGTGTTTTTAGGGTTGATAGTGCTTGAAGAGACCTACACACACACACACACACACACACTGCACACATATGTACAAAAGAATCCCAAATGCCACTTCTCATTGTTATTTGAACAATGAAAATTGAGATTGGCTTTCAGGGAGCTTTGTTAGATAAATTAATGAGATATAGTAAGAGAATCCATAGAGGGAAGGCACAGAAGCTCTGTATCTCCTTGGATGGGCTGGGGACAGATAGTCTGCTGGACACTCATAACATGATGCCGAGGAAGGAGGGGACACACATGGACCATATACTTCTGGAAGCATCAATACTCCATGTCCTTTAGAGATAGGTGTGTCTGTCCACAGGGGTTAGGCTTGGGCAAACCAAATCAGCCATGCATTAGCCAGGAAGCACAAAGCCCCACCCTTCCCAGACTAGCTGGGTTCCAGTGTGTGTGTGTGTGTGTGTCTGTCTGTCTGTATGTCTGTGTGTATGTGTAGAGAGAGATAGAGACTCAAGGCATCCTCCATTGTACTTTAATCAAAATTCCATCATCACAAGAGCTCTTGTGGCATACAATGTCAGGATGGGCACATCAACTTGGTCCTACAAATGGAACATCCATGGATCCACACTTCAAACATGTATGAAAAATAAAATATATAGTATTTATAGCTTTATAAATTTCCCCCACTGAATCCCTTTTCTCTTTAAAATAAATTATGATATATGATGCAGCCTGAAGTCACTGAGCAGGTAGCAGCCAAATGACACCCGTTTTCCCCAAAGTTCGGGATGGTGGGGGAATACTCGATGGGGACAGTCAGATGCTCGAGGGAACCAATGTGGCTTACAAAACAAGCTCACTCTTCACAGTGGGCTGAGCATCAAAAGAATATGGGAGGCTTCTAATAGCTGTTCGGTTTTTTTGTGTGTGTGGGAAAGAAAGTGAATCCCCAAACCACACCAAATGTTGTAGAAGCTGCAAATGAACTTTTGGCACCAGATGAGAAGATCAGCTTTTCAAAGCCAGCCCAGCGATGCGCCTTAGAAGTGTGGGTCTGAGAGGAGGCAGAGGGGAGGGGACAGCTGTAGGGGTCCTTCTCCATGGGTGGTCTCAGCTTTGGGGACTGGATGGTGAGGATTGTCTGAGTAGCTGCCCCCCCCCAACCAGCTGCAATTCCCTCAGAGGGAAAGACCAGAACACACACACACACACACACACACACACACACACACGTGACACTGAGGGAGAGATCCTTTTGCAGATGGGGATAGCATCTTTGCAATGTGTTCAGTGGAAAGCCGGGATGTGCTACACACACAAGGGACACAGGCCACCCCAGTAGGAGGGCCACACAGCCATCAAAGGGGACAAACAGGAAGCACACATGGGACACCAAGGGTCCAAAAGGACAGGTAGGACTGGGTTCCACTAGCATTTACGGGGGCTGGAGGAAGGGCTCACAGAGTTTAATAGAAGGAAGGCTCAGGACTCTTCCCAAGGGATTCTGGTACTACCCGCCCTCCCCCCCAGAAAACGACAAAACTGTGAGAAAGAACAAATGAGCCTAAGACAAGGGTGGCCACACAGCCTGCCTTGAAGGCTTCCTAGGAATAGGCTCTGATTCTTTTCTGTTCAGGCCAGAGGTTTCAGCTGAACTCCTTAGAACAGCCACATCATGGCCTCCTGGATGGGGAGAAGGTAGCTACAAATCCAGGAGACGCTCCTCACAGGTCTCCACAGGCCACTTGGAAGCCCCTCCAAACACGTCGACATTGTTGTCCACCCATGGGATGATATTTCCAGGCATGTTCGTGGAGCAGTTGGCAATGTTGATGATTTCCTGTGCCCGGAGGACACGATCCCATATGTTGAACTGGCTAAGCTCTCCAACAAAGGCCTGTGTGGCATCAAATCTGCCACCTACGGTGTCCTGGAAAATGGAAACAGACACTTTGGGGGAAGGTTCACAAGCAGAACTGGCCTCCTGACTTCCAGGGAAGTGAGATGGAGAGAACCATGGACTCTATAGGTCCTGAAGCCCCATGGCATTTGAGGTGTGGGAAAACCACCCATTTTACAGGGACAACTGAGGCAGAAGGGGAAGATAGTAGCTTAAAGCCTGACTCTGTGGCCCTCTCAGGGCAGAAGCAGTGGAGAAGCTGAGGAAGGAGGCCATAAACAAGACTGCAAGCCTTCAAAGTACTTAGCAGTCACTAAGCTAGCTCATCCCTGCCCAGGACCAGCTGGCTTTTTTGCTGCCCCTCACCTAGATAATCTCTTGGATCACCTTTCGTCCCACCCACCTCTCTGCAGGTACCCTAGGTGAAAATGCAGGGACTCCCAGGGACGCTGGAGATGCCTTCCTATAGTGTTTACCCTATAAGGCAGCTGGACACAGTCTACCCTGTATCTTTGTCAGTCTTGGGCTGTGCAGCCAGGGAGGTTGCTCACAGGGCTGGCTTTCAGGACAGTGGCGGGGTCTGTCAGACAAGAACAAGGGGATCCTGGGTGGTTGGGATGCATAGCCTCCTTTGCATCATCCCTGAGAGTACCCACCTGCTCCTGTCCCAGGATGAGCACACCTCCAGGCTTGATGGGATGCCAGGGTGCCAGGTTCTCCCCAGTACCGAGTTTCTCCCCATCCTGGAATGCTTCCCACATGCCATCTCGAGTGGTCCAGGTGATGCAGATGTGGTGCCACTTGCCATCACTAACAAACAAGGGCAGCTGTGCGACCTGTGGGTATCAATACACAGGTGAGGACTTGCCAGGTTCCAATCCCAATACACTACCCCAGGGAAAGGAAGGAAATCTCACCTGAAGCCCCACAGATACTCTTCTTTTCACTACCCAGGATTCCTGCTGGGCTCCCCTCCCCTGCCTTGTGTGACAATCAGGAGACTGGGTGAAGCCTCAGGACACTGGACATTCTTGGTTCTGGGCCTGGCTACACACTGACCCATTCATGCTAGCCTGTGCTCTCTGTATAGACCTGACCAGTAGCACTCAGGGACCTGTGTGTGTACCAGGCCTCTCCAGTGCCAAGGGAAGGGCAGGAGGTTCCATGCATGTGTGTTAGTATAGTACAGGGGTATGCACATACAGACCCCACACTCAACTACTGGAACGCCCCAGCAGCCTGTTAGCACAAGGCTGTGATAGCCCTGTTGTTACTGTTGGTCTCCTAGCAACCTGAAGTCTCCCTCACAGGAATTGAATGTTTACAAGAGGTCTAAAGGGAGCTGAAAACAAGGCTCTTAGGCACTACAGTGTTATTTAGAACAATAAATCCTTAGCTCAGGAAAGTTGTCTCTGCTAGAAGCTGTGCAGGCTCACTCCACTCCACAGACTTTCAGCTTCTCTACAATGCTCCCTAAGTAAACAAACTCCACCCAGTGACAGTTTGGTAAAGACAGGCAGGCAGGGGTCTCCTCTGCACCCACCCCAAATGGAGGCTTGGCTTGGGGCATCTACAGCAGAGGAGGCCATTCAAATGCCAGACGAAGGGCATTTTTTATTGTGTTGAATCTGACTTTAGGAGAAGAGAGACAGGGTTTTGCTGTGAGCCATAAGCTGGCTTTAACTTCACAGTCATCTGCAGTAGCTCCCCAAGTGCTGAAAGAGTATGCTGTAGAGCCCAACTAGGTGGCTGAGTGACCAGAGGCTCCAAACAAGTCTTTGGAGGAGACCATACTCCTGAATGCCTATGGAAATGGGGCAAGGCTACAGAGCAGAAGAGAAGAGCAATTGCCAAGGGCCGAAGAGGGCTGGGCAGGAGTTGACTGCAGTGGTGAATGAGGGAATGTGGCAGTGGGATTGTTCCATATTTTTACTGTGGTGTGACTCTACAACTGTATGCATTTGTCAAGGCCAGCTAAAACTGAAGCGTACATTTAAAAGGTCAGTTTTTCTATAGCTACTTTGTGTTTAAGAGTCAACTGGTAATTCTGCAACACGGTAGAATGGATAAGAATTATTTTGTGATCATAATTCTTGGTTGAACTAGAGTATTTTTTGCAACATTCCTTGTCATCAGAGACACGGTTAAAGTTTAAAACTAGAAGCAGCAGAAAACTAGCTTGTAAAATTTATCGAAGTAGACTACAGGCTAGACTGTCTTAGGGAAATAAACATTAACACATAAATCAATGTTTTACATGGGGGGGGGAAAGGTCAGTTTTGCCATGTGTAAAATTTATCTCAATAAATATAACCCCTTTGAAGTGTATGCCTACGCTCTCACGTGGGTACCCTCAACCAGAGCATCTAGGGAGGACCGCAGGAGCTGCCTGTGCACGTGGAGCCCTGCTTTCCTACCCTTCCATTCCTTCAACACCTGGATCCTCAACTGCTTCCTGGCCAGACTCAGAGCTCAGGTCTCCATGGGCTGCAAATACACTATGCCACACCCATCCCACTGCCCGCCCTCTAGGGTGGGACAGTCTCCTCCATGCTGAGGAGGACAATCACCACAGCCCCAGTTGATGGGTGAACAGACTATGGCCAGCCGGGAACTTCTCTGTGTGTTACCTTAAGTCAGCCAAGGACTGACTTCTTCCAGCATCTACACCCTTGGACACCAGGGTGAAGTTCGAGCAGGCCTCACCTTGTCGTTGATGAGCAGCTCAATGGGATTATTACCCCACTCTATCAGTACAATCTCATTGGCTTGCCCAGGTACAGCGTAGGAGAATGGTGTGCCGATGCCTGGCGAGGCACTGGATCGCAGCCACAGGCAGATGGTAAAGGCGTAGAGCTCGGGCAATGTCTTCTTGATCTTGCCATACAGGTAGTTTGTGCGGAGAGGAAGGGACACTTTGAATGCATCTGGTGACTTGAATGCACTGTTGCCTGGATAAAAGGAAAAGGGGCTATAGCAGGCTAGCCTGACCCAAGGACCCATCACTCAGGCAGACCTAGAACATTTCAGCTTCTGGTCAAAGTGCCCAAATCCAGCAGCCCTAGGGACAGTCCTTGTCTCCTGGAAGATTATATTCTGGGGTTGGGGGCGGCAGACCAAAGCCAGTAGAAGGGAAAAGGGACAGGGAAGCAGTGATCTCTAGGAGGACAGTGGCTAGAGACAGCTGAGGACATGGGAAGGCCTGCGGGTTTGTTTCCCCACACCCGGCCTGTTAGGAAAAGAGCTAGAGAGATAGATCAGCTGCTAAGCCCACTTGCTGCCCTTCCAGAGAACTCCCATTCAACTCCCAGTAGTCACATGACAATTCACAACCATTTATAACTCCAGTTCCAGGGGTTCTAACCCTCTCTTCTTGCCTGCACAGGCACTGTACATACATGGCATATATGCATATATCCAGGTACATACACATAACAAAAAAGTTTCTTTTAAAGAGGCCTCTTCATTCCTGTTTCTTTGTATAAAGGCCTTGCTATGTACCCTGCAGCCAGGGCTGGCTTTGAACTCACAATCACTCTGCCTCAGCCTAGCAAGTATTGGGGTTTACAGATATGTACCACCACAGTCTGCAAGAGGTTTCTTTAAATCTATGAGTAAACAACAACAGAAACAAAAGTGCACAACTTCAGTCCTTTCTGATTGCTATTTTCTAGTCTCAGTCAATGGTTAAAAACTGGAGGAAGGGTCTAGAGAGAAACTGGATTTGATTTCTCGTTCTGTAAGCCAGGAAAGTCTTCCTCAGCAGAGTCTTGTTTTCTCCCATCTTTCCGTGAGCTCTCAGCTGCTCTGGCTTCTTCCACAATGGCAGGCTTTGAAACCCAAGGGACTGGGCTTGGAGGAGGAAATGTCTCCTGGGGACCTGAGCACTCGATAAACACTTGTGAGCAAGTAAGCCTGCATCACTTGTCACCATACATGAGTAGCATTGCTCAAGTGAAGGTGTCTTGACACTACAGTTTTACTCAGAAGTGACTGTTTGCTCCAGTCCCTGATGGGAAACCCTTTGTCCCTGACATGACCTTTCCCTCTCAAGACAGGACTGTGTTGCTGGACCATATACTGTAAATGTGGACCCAGGAGAGGCAGATACTTGCAAAGGTACTCCCACCCTCAGGCTAACACCTTTAGCCTTTCTAGACCTTACTGATAGTGGTGAGACCTCCCCTCCCCCCATCTCAAACTGTCCACATGTATGAGGCACTTCTGAAGTCTTTGCAAACAAATTCTTATATGGCATGTAACTTTCAGCATAGTCTTGATTTAAGCTCAAACAGTTGTGTTACCCAAAGTTTGCAGGGAACTAATTTATTCTGTGAGTGGCCATACCGCAAGCTTTCCTTGTACACAAGGGTCAGATCCCGCTAGTGAAGGTGCCTCCCTAGTCCTCACTCACCAACACCACTTTTTAAGCACCTCTAAAGGACCAGACAAGACAGCCAGACATTATTCCATCATGACCTTCCGGAATGAAAAGTCCCAGGCCTTATCTGAAAAGGTCTCCAGCACAGCTCAGAGTCTAGGGTCACCTTTCTGGTCTTTGGGTTTTCCAGCTAGTATTTTCTCATGCCCCTGTGACTGTGTAGTCTTCCTGATTCATCCTGACCTCCCATGATAGGCCTCCCTGAAAACAGGCTGCAGACCTGCTGAGTGCCTGTCTAGAGCCGGAAAGACCTGGTCATCTCAAGTACGCAAGGAAGCAAGCCATAGTAAAAGCAACTTGCCTCTCATTGTGCTGAAGAAAAATGAGAGAGAGAGAGAGAGAGAGAGAGAGAGAGAGAGAGAGAGAGAGAGAGAACAAGACAACACTCTCTCCAATTTTGCACATTGTACTGTTGTGTTGAGGCTCAGAGAAATGACTTTTCCAAGGTCACACAGCTACTAAGCCAACAGAACCAGAAAGTCCCTCTTTCCACTGATATAACCAGTGCTTAGTCTTCAAGTGGCAAATAGCCATGTTCTTAATGAAGACATCATTATCTAATAAGGAGAAATGACTTCTATGCTTGCAGGTGGGCAGGCTTGCCAATTTAATAAGATTCAGGGTCTGAAATATCATTAGGTCAGTGACAGCTGATAGGTTTAATTAGAGCTGGGAGAACTGAGAGGCAGAGAAGGGGGCTTTAGCCTGAAAACCGGTACCCTTTATTTGAATAAAAACAGCTTGGAGGTTCAGATGAAACTTAGTTAGAACCAATTAAGGAATTAAAAGGCTTGACCAATAAATCAGAAACTGTAGGTGGTGGACAAGCCTAAGGAGGGGGGCAGGCAGCCTGGGGCTTAAAGGGAGGAGGCTCTGGTCTTGGTGCCAATGCTGATTTCAATACCCAGCCAGCTGCACCTGGCCAGCTGACCTGGACCCTGAGACCTTTGCAAATGAACAGGTCTTGCAACCAAGAGAAGTGGGCATCCTGGGAACACAGGTGCTGGGTGGAGTCAGTGGCTACCTGCTGGACTCTAGAGAATTTCCTGCTCAGCAGGGGTAAAAGCCTATTTCTTCTCTGGGATCACTACCAACCTTCTCGGATCTGCAGAGATTGGAAGCATCATCATCACCTCACCCATATCTGCCATGGATACCTGTTGCAGAGCTAATAGAAGATACAGAACCCACAGGTAAGCATCCAGCTTACAACTGATGAAGAATGAAGGACCACCGGACAGAGACTCCCCAAAGCCTGGTCACACGGTGGAGGCCTGCCTCTATTGGGCTCTGCTGGATGCATCTAAGGAACCTGGTGGAGTTCCCACTCTTAGTGAACTTTGGGGGATGGGCATTTCCATACCCTGTACAGTGGACACAGAACAGAATGAGCACACATTCAGAAGTATCCAGAAACAAATGGCTTACCAGATGGTCATTTTCCTTTGCAACTCATTCCAGAACTGAGTAGGTGGGACACAAGGAAAAAGTCTAGCATTCCTGTGATGGGGGAGTCAAAGGGAAGTCTGGGACTGGAGATGGTAATTAAGAACACTTATTGGTCTTGTAGAAGACCCAGGCTCATCTCCCAGAACCCACAGGGTGGTTCCCAGTCATCTGTAACTCCAGTTCCAGGGGATCCAACACCCTTGTTTAGACTCCATGGGCACCAGGTACATACATACATACATACATACATACATACATATATATATATATATATGAAAAACCCATACACATAAAATAATTATATATACATATAGGTACCCATATGTATAAATATACATCCACACATATACACACAGACATATTTATGTATACAGAGAGAGAGAGAGAGAGAGAGAGTTTGAAGAAGCTTAGTGGCTCCTCTGAACCATGTCATATAAGAGGCTTGGCTCTTATAGGGCTCAGCATCCCATGGCCTCACTCAGCTGTGAACTTTCAGTGAGAACTATGGGGCAGCTGATCCTGAACCCTGACTGTTCCTGGTGGCTGTGAACAGGCAGGCTGAGAACATGTGGGAGAATTATTAAGTGGCAGCTCCCAAGTAACTTTTCCAGTGCTCTGGAGTCCAGGAACAGAGAATGAAGAGACTCAGGTTTATGTTCCTGGGACATGTGTCTCAGGCTTCTTTGACTAGTATCCATAAAGGGTATTTGTCTGCCTGGGAAATGAACATTTCCTTATCTGTGAAATGGGTACACTGCCTGGCACTAATTCCATTCTCTATCTCAGAATTCTACTGACTTGTCCCCTTGCTGGCCAGCTGGCCACTGTGCCAAGTGAAACACACAGCTACCAAGTCCTCCTTTGGTTACTTATTACTGTGTTCACTCCATGGCTCCGTGTGTCCCAAGGATCTGCTATGGCTGTGGGATAGACGTTGTCCTCCCTCTTGTCAGTCAAAAAAGGCACCACAGGGAGTTGCTTTGCCTCTGACAAAGGCTCTGAGACCTAGTGGGTCTCCCAATGTCACCTAGCAGCAGAAGTAAGACAGAAGAGACTGTTTTGAAAACTCAAGAATCTATGTCAAGCCTGTAGACCCAACATTTGGGAGGCTGACCTAGAAGGATGGCAAGCCAAAGGCCAGTTTAGGCTACATAACAAGATGCTCTTTCAAGAAAACAAAACAAAACACACAAACAAAAAACCTAAACAGAATAGAAGTCAAATAGGTAAGCCACACTCCTCATTCTTTTATTAGAAAGACAAGGGAAATAATAGAAAATAGGAAGGGGTCATGGGAAACCTGGGACTCCTAATGAAATAATATCCCATTAGCCCATACCCTACTGTACCTGACCTTTCTTTTCATTACAAGTCACTGGACATTTTCTATTGGATGGTCTCATATCAATCATAAAATTGAAAGTGTCTTTGTTAGCTTAGTGCATCTGAGAATATAATTCTATACCCTCTGTCATTAATCCTAAAATGTCACAGGCCACCCAGAGAGTTGGAGGGGTGGTTGAGACCACCAACTGAAGCATCTAGGACCCTTTATCTCTCCTCTCCTTCCATCTCTGGTAGGAGAATCTTACCCACCACAGCACAGGATGTGAAAAATAAACAGAGTCTGCTGTAATGACTATTTAAAAAAAGAGACTGAACTGCCCATCTAGCAGGAGGTCAGGGGTCAGGCTGTTGATCCAAGCTGGTCCTGAGTTCCTTTGTTTTCCCAGGGTAACTGGTAGGGTTTGGGGCTAATCTGTATGACCACTGTCAATCACCCGTGTCATTTACACACACATCTGAGGATCATCTTCATGCTGTTGACACGGGCACTGCTGTATTGCTGCCAGTAAATGGAAGTCCTAGGTCTGCCCAATGTGGTAAAAAGGAGGCCACTCTCGGGCAGAGCATCAGGCACCCAGCACGTACCTCGCTCCAGCTCAGTCACCCTCTGCAGCAGCGCGTTCAGTGTACTCTCTGTCTTCTGTCGGTGAGCTGATGTCTCATTGTGGAGCAGGGACTTCTCATCCTCCAGCTCGGCCACCTTGCGCAGCAACTGCCTCTCCAGCTCCCCGAGCCTCCGCTGGAGCACCTCTCGAAAGTCGCTTGGCAGCCCCGCGTTAGATGCATTTGTGCGGAGCTGTAGCTTTGAAAGGGTGGAGGGGGACATATTCAGGCCAGCTGAATAGAAACTGTGGCACGAGGCTCCAATGACCCAACCACACAGCGAGAGGCTTCCAACGCAGCATTAAATGGTGCCAGCGGCTCAAAAAAGAACATTTTTTCTGATACTTTCTTTTGGTAGGGAAAGCCTTTCAAAGTCAGACAAAAACTACTTAGCTGCAATGTTTGAAACTTGTGAATCTCACTCTCTTCTCTTGAAAAGCTGCTTTAGTTAACATCTATAGTTCTATGTCATAGAAAGCCCAAAAATACAGGCAAGGTTTTTTTTTTTTTTTTTTCAAGCAAATAATCAATGGTACAGTGAACTTTTGTCTAGAAATAAACACCATTCCCAAATTCCAAAATGGTACAGGGTCAGGTGCTCAGAGATATCCCTGGGAAATGACAGGCACAAGACATTACTATTCTAACCTCCAGAAAGCGTTGTTTTTAGGGTTGTACCCAAATCCTCACTTCCTATTTCTCTTACTCCAATGCCATCATGCTCGCTCAGAGGCAGTCTGCCACCCTCATCCACCAGCCCTTGGGAAGCTCTTGTACCTCTGTGTCCCAATGCTCCAGATTACAAATTGTAGAAAACAGGACCTGCCTCGTGCTATTCTCTAGTACAAGGGTAAAAATTAAATAATATGCCTGAGCCACATTTAGAACTCAAGAAGTGTTAGCTCTTAGTAATCCTAATGACTCATGGGATGTGCAGATGCTGGGGATACTGTATGTAGCCATTAAGCCAAAAGAAACCCTCCAATAAGTTAGCAATAATTAACACCTGTAATTTAAACATCAGTTTTTGCTAATAGGTATTTTGATAAATGCTGTTAACAGAAATGTCCACACTTCTTAAACAAGGTGGGAAGATGAAAATTAATTGAAGATTCCCACCCTATCCCATCCCACCCCCCCCAAGTTCCAAACTGTACACGGGAGAAGACAGGGGGATGAAGTCGGTTCTCCTAAAGTCATGGCAAAGGGCACCTTAAAAAAAAAAAGTTATGACTCGGTGAAGATGAATAAAGGTGTCTTTGAGGTTACTAAGGGGCTTGTTCGCACTTGGAGGTCTCTAGCTTCCCCCCTCCACTCTTCCGCAGATCAGTCAAACCCAGTCCTCCCACACTCCGACCCAGTTTGTCAAAGAAAACACCAGATGCCCAGGGGCAGCTGACCTCTGGAGACAGGCTCTCAGCACTGGGCACAGCCAGCAGGAGCATGTACCGCTTCCGATCGCTGAGATTTACAAGGAGAGGAAACAGGCTGTCAGGGTCACCGAGTATTGCCCTCCAGGCTAGACTGTCTGGGTTCAATAACCAAAAACCTCACTAAGTTCAGGGTAAGACTAATCGGTAAGTCCCAGCGTGTGCGACAGGATGGAGGTGGGGGTGGGGATTTCACCTTTCCCATCTGACAAGGGGACAGAGGAGGGCAGGGAGAAGGGAGGCCACTCCAGTAAGGTTCAGAGAGAAAGCGAGGCTTGTACCTGGGATTTCAGCTCTCCCCATGGATGGGCGCGCACGTACCCCCCTCCACGCAATTTCTGTCCTACGGTTCTGGGGCCACCACCCCCTAGATGCCCTCACACGCAGCTACCTCGAGGTTCTCCAAGCGGTCCTTGAGGGTCTGCAGCGAGCGGCTAAGCTGTTCCACGACGTGGCCCGGGTCCCGCGGCAAGTCGCCCATGGTGTCCTTGCCCGTGGCCCCCGCGCCGCGCGCCTTGCCGCCTGCCAGCCCCTCACAGCGGGCCAGCTTGCCGGTGAGCTCTCGGATGGCCTCGCGCTGGGCATTCAGGGTCTCCTTCTGCTGCAGGACGGTCTCTCGCAGCTGGAGCACAGCGGCACGTAACTCCTCCTCGGGGCTCATCGTGCCGCCCTGCATGGGCATCGCGGGCAACGGGCAGCCGGCGCGCGCCGCTTCGGGGGGCAACGCGGTGCACACGAAGCGACTGCCAGGTATCGGACTGTCCTGGGCTCCTCCCGCGGCCACGGCGAGCGCCACGCCGGCCGTCAGCAGCGCCAGCATCTCGCTGACCCGAGCGCTCACTTCAGCATGAGTCTCTGGATTGCCGTCTGGGCGCCTTCGCGGCCGGCTACGTCTGTCCGAGCCCAGCGCTCGAAGGAACCGCTAGAAGAGCCGAACTCACAGCACAAGCGCCGCCTGCCGTCGCAGAAGGCCACTCTTCCCTTGGAGCCCCGTTCTGGCCCGGGCTCTGCCCGCGCGCCCTTTCTTAAGCTTGGAGGGCGTGGCCACCTGTGCGTGGGGCTCGAGTTGCTTTCTCTGGTTGGTCTGCTTGCGTGCGCGTCACGCGGAGGGCGGGGCGGGGGCGCATCTCTAAGCGGGCCAGGCGCCCGGGTTCTAGCGTGGGCTGTGTTCATGAGGCGCAGATGCGGGGTCCCCAAAGCTGCTTGGAAAAGGAAAACTGGAGTTCATAATGGTCATAGGAAGCGTTGGCGGATCTCTCTCAGGAGTCCCTCGCGGGGCTCGCAGGCAGAGAAACCCGGGGGACACCCTCACGCCCACGATGAATCGTGATGGCACCGGCTTCCGGCGCCGCCTGAGAAATCCTGACCAAGGTGTGATTCCACTTGCCAAGGGGATTTTCCCTGGTTGAACTCAAACCCGGGTGTTCCACGCTGTCCCCACCCCCACCCCCGAGGCCCGTGTAGGTTTCTTCATTCTGGGCGCGGGAAGGAGCTGCGTGTGCATCGGTTGCTGGCAGAGACAGTCTGGAGGTGTCTCCAAGTTCCAGGCCCAACCCCAGAGAATGCAAGAAAAAACAAACAAACAAACAAACAAAACAAAACCTCAGACCAGCCTGGGGTGGTGGTGGTGGTGGTGGCAGGAATGGGTCCAGGATGGTGCAAGGAAGGAGGGGACGCTAACACAGGTCAACAGGACACCTCTAGGCATGATCTTATTTATTTAGCATGACCTCAGTTTGATGAGAACATCCAACCAGAGTCAATATGATGGGGCCATGATGTAAAATGGTGCCCTATTCTTGCAAATGGGAGAGTCTAACAAATCCACTTTACACCTGGAACCTGTATCATCAGATTCTTCCAGAGAGCCTAATATTAATACTCAGAAATCCCCTCTCCCTCCTCCCCAAGAAAACTGGGGCGGGTATTTTAAATCTTACTCATGGCTTACAAGTTCAGAGCAGTTCTGATCCACAGCTACAGAGTGGATTGGTTTACTGCGAATTAAAAATGAAAATCTTTCCCCCCCTCTTTTTAAAGAAACCCTGTTGCAAGGTCATTAATCACATTATCCATTCTACCAGAAACAAATGGGTTTGTCACTTGTGTACGGAGGCTGAGGTTGATTCTGAAAACAAATTGTATCAAAATAAATGAAATTATTATGATAATATAAAATAGACTGCAGTGATTAATCTCTAGAAACCAAATTCTGACCTGTTTTGCACTTCAAACAATAGCTTCTGTTATGTAAATAGTTATGGGGTTTTCAAGGACAATGTTGCTAAATTATAACAAAAGTTCTATTCATGAAAAATCTCTTCAAGGATTAAAAACTACAGGCAGGAAATCCAGTTTACACAGGATCCAGAGCAGAGGACAAGGGAAGCAATGATGTTTCAGGTAAGAATATTCATCAGTGGGTAGATTGGAAGTGGGGCAGGGTGGTGAAGAGAGGACTGATATCTGTGTTGGTCTGCCCTCGACAAGAAGTTACTCCTTGTTAATTTGACCTTGGGTCTATGATTTCTTCCTAGACTTTCTTTCTTTGGCTACTTGGAAATTCAAAAGTTCAAATAAACCCACATAGACAAAGATTGCAATAGTGAAGGCAACAGGATCTCAAAGCACTTTCCAGAATAGTACACTTTAGATGATACTGTAATGTACTGTGTCCAGGCATATTCAGAAGTATCCAAACATAAACATGCTGCTTGAAGTTTCCACTCACAGAATTGATGTTCTTTTACTCATAGGCCAGGGGAGATCTTAATTGGGTATGACAATAGATTATTATTGTTCCTATTTAACTCTCCAGTCCTTTCATGACATGAACTAATAATTCATATTTGCAACTACTTGAAGCCAAGGCTTGTCCTTTTAATAATTAAATCAAGTGTATTTCCAGAATTCTAATTTCCTTCTGGCCAAAGAAGGCAATGTACAAAAAGACATAAAAATAGCACATATCCCCAAAATAACGGCTCTTAAATTCCTTATAAGAGTTTCCAATAAGAGAAGTGATCAGTGAAGTTGCCAAACCCCAGATGGAAAGACCTAGGCATTAAGGATGTTATTTTTCTCTGGAGACAGTAAAATTAGAGGACCTATGCTATTTGGGGTTTTATTTTGTTTTCCTGGTACAGTGGAAAAATCTGCTGGTTTAGGAATGAGGCGTTCTAGTCCCAATGCCAACTGTTACTAGCTAAGTGGTTTGGAGCAAGCCATTTTCTTCTCTTTGGACCTTGTAGGGGAGATGAGGCAATTAACATCAATTCTTTATGGCTCTCCTGACTTTATTCAAGAGTTTGGTAGTTTAGGAAAAAATGCTATCATGCTTCCCTGTGATAAACATTACAAAACATTGGTTTCCTCCTGTATGTGCTGTGTTCTGTCTGTAGTCCAGTCTGCATATGGAAGGACGGGCTGGATGTGTAAACAGCAGGCAGACTTTCATGCAGAGGAGATCCTGTGGCTGTGATTGTGACCTATTCCCGACATCATGGGAGCTCTGCCTTGATTTCCTCCTGACAGCACAGAAACTGTCTACCTGACAGATCCTGCATACATGACTCATGCTACCCATGAGCATGGCTGTGCAAGTGACAGAGCCCAGGGGCCCACAGATTTTCTGCTACTTGAGAAAGTCGTGCAGATCTGCAGCAGTGAATCACCGCCACCTATTCTTTTAGTGTAACTGATGCTGCAACATAGTAGCCACCCACTCATTCACTGTCTGCTGGTCCCAGGTCAGCCCAGAGAGCCCAGGATGGATTTAACCCATGTGCTGGGAATCCTGATGAGCTCATTCGACCCCCATTTTATTGTCCCATCTGTTTGGCTCTTGGTTCTTCTCACTTGCATTTTTATCTTGGTCTTCTGGGAAATGTACTAATTTCCACCATGGTGCCAGAGGAACCCATCTTATACAGTTTTTCCCCCCCCCCTGAATTTCCTTCTCTTTCTCAGAGCCACTTGGGAAGTCAAGAATGGGGGTGTGAGCTCAATAGCACAGAATTCAAGGACAGCTTCCTGCAAACATGACTCAGGAACTGTCCTCGGTGCTGAGTTTCAGTCAGGGGAATTCAGAATGGAGAGAGAGACAGTGTGTGTGTGTGCGCACACACTCACATATAGGATTCGGTGCTGGAGGTGTCAGAGGATCCTGATTAATCTACTTTTATACAAAAAATGCTAATACCTTCTTATGAGTGTGTTTTGCACTAGCTCAAACTGCCTGGTAAAGTGAAAAGAGCTTTGGTCTGGAGTCAGGCAGCTTTTGTTTCAATTCTAGTTTTATAACTTGAGAGTGTAGCTTAACCTCCCTGGACCTTAGTTTTCTCATTTATAAAATTAAAAGTAAATTTATGAGCAAGCATTGTTTCTCAGCTTGAGTGAGACAGTGTTTCCAGACACGTTTAGCATATAGCAAGCTCACAATAAATGCTAATGTATTTTTCTTCACTGAAGCCAGACCTGAATTATATAAGTCCTATTAAAAACAAAATTAAAATTTCTCCTTATTCTGTTCAATATCCTTTAGACTAAATACAGGAAAAGTCTGGGGCAGCACAAGCCATCTTCCTCTGAGAGATGACAAGAACTAAGAATTCCAGAAAAATGTACAGATTTCAGCAAGTAAAAGGTGTGTGTGTGTTTAATACAAATCATGGTATTACTGAGATTTAATCAAGTGAACTATTTTGCATCTATGCTAACTTGGCATCTCTGTAAAGGAACCCATCTAAAAGATTTGTTGTACTTAACATTTCAGCAAATGAATTTAAATTGCTGTGGAATCTAAGAGAGGCCTGCCCCTCTGATAAAGCAAAAATGTTCTTCTTTCCTTGGTGCATCTGGTTTCTTCCTGAAGCTGTATCTCGGGTTTAATTTTGGAGCATGTGATAGGAAACAGTGACTTTTAGAAAATGTTCCTGCGCAGGGGTGTGTTACAAGTGGAGAGACAGCCATGGTTTGGGAAAATATAACTCCATTGATTTCAACAAACAAGTGAAGGCTCGATGGCACCTTCTGACTTCTAGCAATAGAATAAACCACTAGTAAACCAGGAATAACAGCTTAGGTTGGTTCCTAAAGGGAATGGGATCTGGACAGCGAGCTCGATGGGGATGATGAAACTCAGTTGGCAGAGCCTAATAGAAAGCCCTGAGCTTCACCCCTAGCGCGCGCGCGCGCGCACACACACACACACACACACACACACACACACACACACAGACCCCTTGAAGTTGGTTTGCTTTGAGATTGAAGAGCATTTCTCTATTTCTCGATTTCTCTATATTTAGAAACACTGAGGATAATACTTCTTTTATATGCCAGTTTAAAACTTACAAAATTGGAACTGGGGAGAAGGCTTGGAGGTGAGGAACTGCTGAACATGCAAATGTGGGGATCTGAGTTCAAATCCCCAGAACCTAAAGTAGGGTGCCTACAGGAAGGTGGATGGTGGAGACAGGAGAATCTCTGGGAGCTACCCTGGCATGCGAAGCAGTAAGCAGTAAAGGAACACTGCCTCAAACGAGGTGGAAGGTAAGGACCAACACCTGGGATTGACCTCTGACTTTCACTCATGTGCTACACTCACACAAGTGCACGCACACACACACACACACACACACACACCAAAATTGACCTAATTGTAACAAAGATTTAAGCTCAATATCTCCTATCATTTAGACACACAGACAGCTTGAACACTGGAGTTTTAAAGATTTATGTTTTTTTATGCATATATGAGTGTGCCTGAATGTATGTGTGTGCACCAATTGCATGAAGGATCCCAGGTCAGAAAAGGGAACTGTAGTTACAGGCAGTTTTGCTTTGTTTTTTGAGACAAGGTTTCCCTATGTAGAGTAGGAGTCTGTCCTAGAACTCACTCTGTAAACCAGGCTGGCTTTGA